GAAAAATCCTCAATATAACATCAGGTTTCATTTTCACAAATAAGCACTCAGTATGGAACATTCCAAAATACCTTTTTGGAAGAATATGAGATTGTACAAGAGCCCATAACACAACACTGATACAAATTTTCTATTAGTCGCTTCAAACTTGTCTATTAGGTAAAACTATAGGAGAATCTTCTGAGGAGATGGATTTGTTTAGTTTCTTTTCTTAAAATAATCTCAAACTTTGACAACTCTAGGAATAGCTTCAATAGGCTTTTTTGTTTGTTCTTAAGAAAGCTGTTACCCTCCTCTGGGTTACTCTAATAAAAAATAATTAAGAAAATTCTTTAGCAATTATGAACTATTAATTTGTGCATATACCTTTAAAATAATCCATACTTATGCATATAAATACAACAAAGACCCAGAGGAGCCATGAGTTGTGCTAGTGAGCTGGTTGAATGACTACAGTTAAGTGGAGAGAACTTCTTGCAAGTATCTTTTGAGCTATGGTTTCTGAGTAAAATTATGCAGCCTCTTTCATATTTTTGCATTTTAAGAATCATTTCAAATAATTTGCAAAACAAAAATCAAAGACTTTCTAACTTTTCACTTTTGCCTGCTCAGGAAAAAAAATATTCATTCAGCTTTTATTTCTTAGGGCTCTAATTATTTTCCTTGGGTTTTATGTGCCTTCTTTTATTCCTCTAATACTCAGGGCAGACTAGTAAATCAGGAGAAATACTACCTGGTTGAGTACTGGCATAAAAATATAGAGTTGTAAATTTCACCCCATTAAAAAATGAAATAATAAATTTCATTTAGCTTATTTTTTTAACCCTACATTCCCAGCAGAATTCTTGGTCCACAGTGACTTGTTTAATGAAGAAGGCAGGAATAACTCATTGCATGATTCTGAACAAGGCACTTAACTTAGCAGCAATAACCTCATTTGTTACTCCTCTTCAGCACGCACAATATTTTGCATAAATTATGCATACAGATTCACAGGAAAATTAGCATGACAAGATGCAGCTGCTGAGTTTAATGAGGAGATTTTCTCACTAACATCAACCAAAGAGATAAATGACTCTTGTTCTGGTGGAGAAAGGGGACTTTGTGGAAGGAGTGCCTTGGAAGTATCATCTGTCCTAGGGACGCCTGAGTGGCTGTCAGTTAAGCTTCTGCTTTCGGCTCAGGTCATGATCCCAGGGTCCTGGGATCGAGTCCCACATCGGGCTCCCTGCTCAGTGGAGTCTGCTTCTCCCTCTCTCACACCCCCTGCTTGTGGTCCCTCTCTCTGTCAAATAAATAAATAAAATCTTCAGGGGAAAAAATGAGTGGCACTGGATTATCTGTCCATATTTGTACTTATCCATGCCCATAGAGAGATGTTAGGTGTGAAAGTCAAGTCTTGAATATAAACTCTAGTTTTCAGAAATGGGTTATGACTCAGCTATAGCAGAGTAATTCAAGCCTTAGGGGCTTAGCTTTTCATTACCATTCTACCTCGGTTTGCTCTTTCACTTTGAGAACTACACAACATAGTCATTATTTAGCTCAAATTCACTTGCAAGTTTTTAGACAGGAAGCAAGCCATAATTTCACTCTGTTGGAAGAAATATGACAAAATAATCAAGATGCCTAAACTAAGAGCAAGAATTTTCAGGGAGAACTATTCTTCCTTCTTCTCTTAAGATTCAAACCTGAGACGACGACGGAAGTACATTGTCTCTAAATGCCAACACCTAGAGGTTACATGAGAAACAAGGAATAAAATGCAGGAAGGGAAAGGGATAAAGGATCCTATGTTGGAAAGCCCGCATTTGAGGTGCTGATGAAATATCCAGGTTGAGATTTCCACAGGCAAGTGAGAATGTGGATCTGGAGCTCAGAGAAGAGGTTTTGGCAGATATTTCACTTGGGGCAGAAGGCCAGATGGTTGTAAGCACTAGAGGGGAAAGGAGGAGAACATGAAGTCTGAAAACTTGTGGGGGCTGGGAAGGGGCCTGCGCCATCTGGAGGTGGCCCAACACACCTGAGGGATGGGGGAGGGGGTACTTTTGAAGTTGTGAGTGGATAATGCTCAGGAGCCTTATAAGAGAACCAGGTTTTGATTATACGGGAAGGAATTTTTTTTTTTTTAAAGCTGACAATATAGGGAAGTTGATTTACTGGAATAAGGGTTATAAATAGCACAGAAAAGGCCTCAGAAGGAGAGGAACAAAAAGAACACGTCAACAGAAGGAAGAGCGTGGAGCACTCCACAAGTGATTAATGCAAGCAGTCATCTCTTCTCTGCTCATCACCACACAATGTGCATTCTCAAAAAGGCTGATCGGCCCTTCCAGAAAGCAGCTGAATCCATCATGAAGAAGAGCATCCTTCTCCCAAGGCAGGTGCACAGCATCCACGTTCGTATTCCTGTAGTTGGCTGCCTTGGTAGCATGAAGACAGTCAGGAATCATTCTGTGAGTCTGTCCTTCCCGTGAGGCCCTAACGAAGCACTCAGATGACAGCAAGCCACAGTAACCAAATTCTGATTTAGGAGTTATCATTCCTTATTGACTATTCATTAGAAATGAGTCATAACCACCAGGGAGAAAACTTACTATTATAGCTAATGAGTTCAAGATAAAATGAGAAGATCTGATGGACTCGAAGAATTTCTAATACTGTTTTGTGGCCAAAGGTTATGCCTGCGTTTCTTCTTATTCCAGAGGTCACAGGGCACTGTGACTGTTGTTTTTTATTTATAACACTAGAGGAAGAGCACACTTACAACCTAACAGTATTTGCAAGGAAAACACTGTATATCCTCTTGAACTGGTCATTAAAACGATCAGAGGGAGGACTGGGAGCCTGAACTCAGAGAAAGTGAGGTGAGTTAACTATAGTGTTTTAATATTTCAGGTATCTATGAAAATCAAGGTCCTAAAACGTGATGAAACGTGATATATTTTTTCAAGTACTGTGATCTAACTCAAAACTCCTTATCGTTTAGTTGCCATTTCAAATTCCTCAGATTCATGTGTCAGGTATTCAAAGCCACAAGATGGTCTGCAGAACATAAGAGACAAGTAAGAACTACTGGAAAAAACTCAGCCGTGGTTTAGAAGAGTAAGTACTAAGGGGGGAAAAATGTTCCTTCTCAAGCTCTGAAATTCCTCCCGCCCAGAAGTCCTCAAACATTGACAGATCTTTTTTTCCTTTAAGAACTTTATGATCTGGGGGTGCCTGGGTGGCTCAGTTGGTTAAACATCTGACTCTTGATCTCAGGGTCGTGAGATCAAGCCTGATGCTGGGCGCAGAGCCTACTTAAAAGACAAAACAAAAAAACTTTATGATCTGGGTTGTTCAAACTTTCTTGGTACCTATATCATAAAGAGTAATATAATGTTAAAAAATCTTATGGTCTTATAAAAAAAACTAAGAAAGATGATAAATCTCTAGTATTTCACTAGTAATAATTATCCTAATCACTCTAATTCTTTTACTTAAAAAAATGTGCAATCTCATTAAATGAAAATAGCCTGAAGTATGTCAGATATGAATTGCATATAAGTATATGATAGTGAAGCAAAGCATTTTATCTTTTGCAAAATCACAATAAAAAGTATTAATAGTACCTGGATGGGATGGAAAAAACAAAAACATGGTCTTACCAAAAAGCAAAATTACTTAGCAACAGAATAGCCAGCTATCTTTTTTACCACAATTAACAGAAAATGCATCCCAAGGGGAACATTTTCCTTAGGCACCATAACTGTTAACTTCATGCCTGATCAAAGACATAACATCAAATAATGAACTGATGTGACCAATAAAATGCTGAAATTGTATTACTAATAGAGATACATACTAGAACCCTTTATAATCATTAAAAAAGGCAAAAGCCATTTAAAATAGATATCCCTGTCTCCTACTTATTGCTAGCACGAAGGGACTCACGGTAATACAGATCATAACTCTAACAAAACAAAGCTCTAGGTCCATCTGAAAATAGCGTGCCTGCCCTTAACACTGAACAGCCACAACTCTGCGTCCCCTGAAGAAGCTTCCCGAAGATAATCTGAATGGTTCAATATCCAAGGAAATACCAACTAATGCCTTTGTTTTCTCTAATTCAAAATGACACTTAGGATTGTTCTACTGAATTATATTCCGAGGTACAATCATGTTTTCTGATAAGAGGCTGGGGTCCCCTGACGGTGCCCTTCCAGGAGCAGCAGCCAGAAGGTACAAGCTGGGAGGACCTCTTCCCTGAAGAGGAAACTGAAGCCTCTGGAAGTGAATGATCTGACTAAGGCCCCTCAGCAAGGACTAGAGCCCAGGTCCAACATTCTTTCTGGGGTGTCCAGCCCAAAACTCCAGCTCAACAATCTTTCTGGGGACCTCACAATACTTCGGGAAAAGAAAAAAACAGTAGTCACAGTTTCTAAAATATTTTATTTCTAGGTCCATCATCAATATACTAATGGTGAGCACAGCATACCGTAGAGAGAAGTCGAATCGCTATGTCGTACAACTGAAACTAATGTAACACTGTGTGTCAACTACACTCCAATTTAAAAAGTAAAATACAAAATTAAAAAGTTAAAAATTAAAATAAATAAAAATAAATAATAGATTTTACAAATTAAAAAATATACTAAAATATACTTTCCCAAATGTCAATACTCAGAGGTTTTTGCTAAGCTAGAGTAACTTCCTTTACCTCCTATTAGCCATGGAAAATTACCTTCCAAACTTTCTCACTAAAAAAAATATGATAAAAGTTATCACACCGAGTTTTATGAAGCCTTTTGGCTATATCTGTGGTATCTGACTGTGTCATGCAAATTGGGAGATTATCCTATGAAGTGAGGACAACTATGTTCTTAAAGGATATGAATAAAAACACTATTCCTTATGATCTTCCACCTTTGACCTTTAGTAATTTCAATTTCGTATTTTTTAACAGAAAACGAGAGGGTAGAAAGCTCTAACTATGAAGCCGTCACCCATCACGGTACCTTGGCAGCTTTGTTAACTTTGTCTTCATTTTCTCTCTTATACACGAAGACGGAAGCACATCTGCCATCCTGCAGAACAGCGGGGTACACGGCAAGTCCGGAGGGTAAGGTGAAAGGTGGCTCCTTCAGCGCGTAGCTCTTCAAAGCACTGCTCTCTGATCCCATCCCTTACGCAGTGAGGCGGTGCTGCAGCTCCTCCACAAAGCCAAGGAGAGCTGAAAGAAAACAGAAAACACCGTCCAACATGGGTCTCTGTCTGCAACACGTGCTGGAGATCCCAGGGACCCAGACCCAGCCACTCAAACCCACTCATTTCTCCGACCCTCATCAATTAGGCCATTTGGCGATAAAAATGGCAAATGCTCAGCCAGTTGCCAGCCATGCTTGTCAAGGAACCACCAACAGCTCTACAAAAATGCACTTAAACGCCCCCCTCCCCTCCCACGGAGACCCTTCCAGGGTGCGAGGGGGATCAAAACCAGGGTAAGATCATCTATGCTCCCTAACCCACGCACAGACCCTGCCTCACAGGAAAGGGTTACAAAATCTGGTAATTCGTCAGTGAGAAAACTTCTGTATAATAATATATAAAACAACAGCTTAAAATTATAGAAAGGACACTACAACCTAGAAAGCATTTCTAACAATGAGAAAAACATGTTAACAAGTGCAGCGCTCATATAGGCCAAGCAAAGCAGCGCGAACACAAGCAGAACAAGGGGAAAGGAAAGGGACAACTCACTGAACACAAAGGGCAGTGACCACAACAGAGTACACCCTCACTGCTCCTCACACTCGCGCTAAGTACAAAGGGGGCAGTGCAAAACTGTATCATCCCAAATGCTAAAAAACCCACACATGCATGAAATGCTAGAAAATGCAAACTACCCTATAACGACAGAAAATAGATCAGTGGTTGCCTGGGGTGGGGCCCCAGGAAGAGGAGAGGGTTGCGGAGGGGCGTAAGGAAACTTTGGGGGGAACAGAGTCATTATCTTGATTATCATAAAGGGTGATTACAAATACCAAAACGCTTTAAAATATGTTCGGTTTATTATGTGTCAATTATACTTGAATAACGCTGTTTCAAAAAGAAATATACGTTATAAATCTATGTCTCCATCTATGCATGTATCTATCTATACAGACACATAAGATACATACACACAAAGCCTTGAAAAAACATGCTCGAGTATTAATAGAGGTTTGCGGTAGGTGTCAGATCACGGGTAATTCCCAGGCAGACAGACGGACACACGCCTGCACCTCCCCAGTCTATTACAATAAAAACATATCTTTCTCTGCAAAGGAGATACAAATTCCCATGGTTAAGGGAGGACTGCGGACGCGGCGTCCGTAGAATAGCACAGGGCCGCCTACCGAGGGTGGCAGGCACCTAAGGAGGACGCGCAGCCTCCCAGGTTCCAACCAGCGCTGCCAGACCATGCCATTTACCCTAAGGATCCAAGAGCCTGAAGATTTACGTGGAAATTTCCCTATTTTTCAATGTTGGGTCAAATGTTTTTAAACCCGTAGAGGCCAAACTACGTGTTTGCAAAATGTGGGTCAGTTTGCAGTCCTGGCTTTACCATAGTGTAAAAAAATAAAACCTAAAGAGGGTTCTTAACTAACTGGCAATGTAGCAAGAAGTTGCTAGTTCTAAATAACACGGCCAAACATTCTACAAAGATCTTTAAAAATTTCAGTTAAACAAATCCCATCCTTTAAATAAATATACACCCAACAATCATACACAGACCCACTACTGAGATTTTTTTTTCCACTTTAGTGAAGTTCCACACAACACTCTGGGTAACCAAAGTATGAAATGCTGCTCAAGACACATACTTAACAGAGAATTCCAAGTGCCTACAGACCCACATACATCGCTGTATAAGTAACACAACACGTACAAGGGCTAAAGCTATCTAAAATTGAAATTATTCAAAATCCAAGAATACTTCTGAGGATAAGAACTAAGTTGTCTTTGTAACAAACCCGCTGAGTTGCTACATACCCTGCAATTTATCTTAAGAACAGTAGGGGTAAAAAAACAGTATTAAAAATGCCACGTATCTCAACTATATGTCCCAGTCTCTATTAGGACTACAATTAAATAAAATTAGTGTTAATGTAGGCTCACAGGGAAAAGCAACTATTGTTAAATCCCCTGTTCTGGAGATGGTGTGGTGCCTGCCCTACTGTGACAATCCCCCCACTGAACTGTGAGGGTCATGTTCAGTACTTGGGCCTTGCTCCTCTCCTCTAGGGCATAGTTAATGGGTCAGGCGCCTTCCTTGGGCCAAAGGCCAGTCAATGCACACATGAGCCATCCCTAGGACCCATGGCCTGGATGAAGAGCTCAAATGGGCAGATCCTTGCCTGCCTCAGGAATCTGAATGAACAAGTGATATACTTCCATTAGCTGAAGGTAAAAGGATGCTATGAGGTAGAGTCAGGGCTATGGCAAGCCAAAGCCATGAAGAAGCAGAAGCTTGGCAAGCAGAGGAAGGCAGCTGACAGCAGAAGGAAAAGCCTAGGCTGGGAGCAGCTTAGTCAGATTTATAGGGGCACATTACTACACTCCATCTTGAGGCTTCGGGATGCAAAGCTGCAAATCCATTTCCTCCCTGCTTCCTTGACACCACTACAATCAGGGGTAGCCAGAGGTCCACCCGAGGTAGCTTGAAAGGGTCAATGTTCTTTAAAACCAACTGTCATTTCAGCAGCAGAAAAATCTATAACTCCCGCATCTGTAAAACCAGTTAGACTAGAGGAGTTAGAGAAGGGTTACTTTGAAAAGTGTGTATCTGAGGCTAGTCTAACTTCCTTCTCTCTTTGCCACAAAATACAGCTCTCCAAAATCAACACATAAGGAACTGCAAGAAAATGAAAATCCTCTTGGCAAAATATCATGGTGTTAAACAATTTTAATATTAGTCCCCAGAGGAGATAAGACTGAGTAGTGATGCTCTGGCAGAATGAATGGAAGTCAGCAGAGGTACAGCAATGGACATTTACTTAGTTTTTTTTTTTTTTTTTAAGATTTTATTTTGACACAGACAGAGCACCCGCAAGCACACAAGCAGGGGGCGTGGCAGAGGGAGAGGGAGAAGCAGCCCCCCTGACCCCCTGAGCAGGGAGCCCAAAATGGGCTCCATGCAGGGCTCATCCCAGGGTCCTGGGATCATGACCTGAGCTGAAGGCAGACGCTTAACCGACTGAGCCACCCAGGCACCCAACGTAGTCATTTCTAAATAGCAAAATACATCCTTGTGGGAACACTGGGCTTTTCAACATCTAGAGTTACAAAAGCTTTACGAGGTTCAAACCCCTAATGTTTCTTAGCAGTGTATATTTTGGGCTTAAGACACTAAGAAATACAACTTGAAAAAAAAAGAAATGACTCCCTTTCTTGAGAGAAAGGATGCCATTTTACTGTTTTGAAAGCACGATTAACCTTGACAGAAGTCTACCCATACCAGGAGTGCAATGCTCTCAGAGTAGTAGGAATTACAGCCTACGTCCGTTGCAAACCTTATTAGGTGACAACAAAAAGATGTGCTGTTGACTGCTTTGAAATAAAAAAGTCACAAGAAAAAAAATTCACAAGAAGACAGAAAAGGATAATCTAATATTGTGATGTCAGCATGGTTATTTTGTAGATTTACCATCCCCACTCTCTATAATAAAATGTTGGGTAGGCAGTTTCTGACTTAAATAGGCATCAAGGTCTTCTCTTTAAAAACTGGTTCACCTACCTTCCTCCATCCTTTTGCTTACTTGGGCAGCACATCACATTTCTGGGCCACCTGTGGATTATGCAAACGCTTGTCTAGGTCAGCGGGCAACTCATACACTCAACTAAGAAATCCATGTCATCTGGGGAACTCTCTCTTCTTCCTCAAAATTTAAGCGAGATGATCTTGGTTCTAGCAGTCTCTGCTTGGAGGTTCCAAAGACAATGGCTTGCACTGTGAGTTCTAAGGACACCCTATACTGACTGATATTTTGTTACCTGGTGATAACGTTACCCTGGCCCTTTACTTTGATCTGTTTCAAGTACATATTCCCTGTATTGAACTCAGTCCAGCACTGCTAGCTGACCAGCAATACATAATGAAGCCTTTATGGACCAAAAGAACTAAGTATGATTTCAGCTAGGATTTGAGATGTTACGTGGATATGCACACAGGTACTCAACTACAGTGAACGGTGATTCCGGAATTCAGGACCCGACTCAGTATTCACATGGTTTCCTAAACACACTCTTCCAAGAAATGTTTCATCTTTATTCTAAATAAAAAGCACTATGCAAGCACAGAGCCAGCTGGGCCTCGGGGGGCCCGGCACTCGTCCTGGAGCAAGAACGCCGGCGGCTTCCCGGGGCGGGTGCGCCCCCCGGTTCCCACCGCTCCCGCAGCGCCGCGCGGCTATGTGTGGCCGCGCACACTCGCGGCCTGGGGGCCAACGAGGTCCCACCGCGACCGCCGGGGGTGGGCGGGGGCGGCGCTCCCGCCCGCTGGCCCCTCACCTTCCACACCTGCCCGCCGAGGCCCGGCTCCGCGGCTTCCTTCGCTAGCTCCGGCAGCCAGCAACGCGCCGGGCGGGGATCGCCCGCGAAGCCCGGATCCGAAGGGCGCCCCGTAACAAGCAGGGAAAGACTAAGCGGAGGCGGAGGGCACAGCTCAACCGGCAGCGACGCCGCGCCGAGCGCGGACCCGCGAGTAGGGCGCGCGCCCACCGCCTCCGCTCCCGGCCCGGCCCCTCCCCCGCGGCCCGGTCCCGCACTGACGAAGGAAGCAGCGCAGGGCTCCCTGTTACCTGCGGGAGGGCGGCGGGGAGGCGGCCGAGGGTCTTGGCTCCGGTCCCCTCTTCGCCCCCTGTTGACACCAACCACCCTCGTCTACCCCGTGAGGCTGTGACCACTACACCCACAATCTTCGGGGGGTATGCTCCCTCCGACACCATAGAGATGGGTCCGGAAACCGGACAGAACGCCAGCCTCCAGCCCTCCGACGCCACCACTGAGGTGAACGAACCCGGAACCGAGATAGAGCGGCTGCATAGGTGACTCTCAGGCCGAAGCCATCTTGCGTCTGGGCGCGGGGGCCCGTCGCGGCTTGACTCCCTGCTCCCAGCGGCCTGGTCTGTCTGTGAAGCTGTTTCCTTTCTTGGCGTTTAAGTCGAACTCGCAGGTTTGTCTTGATTTCAATTTTTAGGTCTTTAGACGCGCAGTTTTAATTTGATATCCGCCCGAACCTAAAATGGCCGCTGTCGCCTCTAACAAATAGTAAAGGGGCGGGGCGCAGAAGAGAAGTATGGAAATTGGCCTGGACCTTTAGGAGAGTGACGTCGCTCACCCCAGCGGGCGCGATTGGTTGCGCTGCGTGGGCCGAAGTCGTGCGGAAAACCGGCCGAAGCTGGCGGAGGTGGAAGTTGTTCCGGCTTAAGCCATTGAGACGGGAAGTTTGAAGTTACGCATAATTCCGCGAAGAGTAAATTGGAACTAATCATATTAATAGTACTTATTAGTAATATTAATGGTTTCTACTTAATAGGATGTTGTGAGAATAAAGCGAATATACCTAATAGTTTTGAAACGACTTGACTCAAACTGAGTTTTCCCTGTTCTCATCGCAACTACTTAATGCTCTACTTAACAATTCTGACTGTTGACGGCTGACCTAAATAAGTTGATCATCCCAAACTTTTAGGTTCTCTGGTGGCTGAAAGGTTTCTGGCAGCTGAGAAGGCCTAAGATGGATTAGCATCCCACAATTTCTTCGTGCGGTTAAGTGAAAATAGGCCAAATTTTGCTCCTTATTCAGAAGTGTATTGAACAAATGTTTATTAGGAAGCCGACATACAGTATTTAATCCGCTGGATGAGTTTGACAAAGGCTGAGCGCTCTGTTCTGGGTCAGGACTGTCCTATAGAAATTGAATTCAAGCCACATTATGTAACTTTATTTTAGTAGCCACATTAAAAACAGTAAAAGAAAAAAAAAGGTAAAGTTAATTTTAACACGTTTAAACAATATATCCAGAAGATTGTCATTTAAACATGCATTCAATATGAAAAATTGTCGATATTTTACACTTTGGTACTGTCTTCAAATCTGATGTGTATTTTTTACAATTTGGACTAACCATATTTTAAGGCTCCGTAGTCACTTGTGGGTAGTGACTACCATTTTGGAGAATATAGTTCTGGGCAGAGTGACCACCACCTTGCACTAGAAAGTTGAGAACCAGAAGAGCAGTGCTCCAGAGGCAGGATTCTGTTATCAGTGTAGTCAGTATCTGGCAACCAGAAGTCTTCCAGACCAGAGGTAGAGCCAGGACCATTAGGGATGCAGCCTCAAATGGCATCTCCAAAGGCTGAGGACCCCTTGAATTTTCAGACCCCGTTTATTCAGATGTGGAGAGTATTTTCTAAAATATTTTAAACAATTCATCTAGCTTGAATTCTTTTTTGAAAGTCCATTTCTAGTATTCATTATGATGATTAATAAGCTGTTATTTTTGCCTATAAATACCCATTTCTGACACTCATTATGATAATTAACAAAACATCTGGTGTCATCAGAAATCCAAATGGCTAAAGTATCTGTAGTTCCATCTCTGGAATGTAGCCTTTCTAGTATGATTCAAGCTAGCTACCTCTGGAGTGTGGATTCCTGATTACCAGAATGCTAGCTGCTTCTAGGGCATAGCTTCAACCAATTAACCCACACGGAACATTACACTGTCAATGCTGAAATAATTTAAAGTCGGCAACAGACCTCATGATATCCATGTTGTACAGAATATTGGCCTGCTTTGTAAACTCTAAACACTATACAAATGTTGCAGAACATAAACCTCATGTTTTTTTTAAATTAAATTAAATTATTATTAAATATTCCACAAATATTTAACATACACCTTTCCTGTGTCAGGTACTGTGCTGACCACTAAGAAAAGAAGGAAGAAGTCACAATCATTGCAAAAAAGTGGGCGCAAGGGGCCCAAATAAAACTTTTTTTTTTCTTTTTAAGTGATAGAGGATGTGTGAGTAGCTTAATGCTAGAAATGTTATCTTAGTTTTGCAAAGTACCCTGCCCCACCACCAACAACCTACAAGTTTCAAGCCACTGTTGTCTGAAGCTGGACATGAGTTAAATGACTACACTTTCCTGATTCCTCTAAGGCTTTCCTGACATTTGCTCCTTGGTTACTTACTCAATACAGCAAATACTTTATAAATGTTCTTGGTGTACTGACCTCTGTTCTGCAGACTGGAAACAAAAGCAAACAAAGCAAGATTAATTCCCTGTTCTCACAGGCCTCAAATTTTAGAGGGCTGATGGGTAAGGGGAAAAATAGACACTAAGCATATAAATGAACAAAGGTCAGTTTGTACAATGGTAAGTTCTATTAAAAAGGAAAACAAGGTGGGGGTGCCTGGGTGGCTCAGTCGTTAGGTGATTGCCTTCGGCTCAGGTCATGATCCCAGGGTCCTGGGATTGAGCCCTGCATTGGACTCCCTGCTCCGCAGGAAGCCTGCTTCTCCCTCTCCCACTCCCCCTGCTTGTGTTCCCTCTCTCGCTGGGTCTGTCTCTGTCAAATAAATAAATAAAATCTTTAAAAAAAAAAAAAAAAAAAGGAAAACAAGGTGTTGAGGAGGAGCAATTCTACTCTGCCCTTCAAGATTCTTCTAGCTGTACTAAGAATTAAGTTGTCATGAGAAAATCAAAAAAAAGTTTAATAACATGTATACCTCCTGTACACATGAGAAAGACTCAGGAAAACTAAGTAACTCACCAAATGACCAAAACCATTACCTTAAATGCTATCTCCAGCTAAAGACAGAAGGAGTGGAGGTGGGGGGCATTTTTGGAAGGTTACCAAGAAAAGCCCAGTAAACAAGGTTAAGGTTTATATCCATTCCTTTTCCACTGATAACAGTTTCTAGAGATGTAGGGTCATCCCTCTTTTGTGAATGGAAATTTCCCTTCTACATGTAAATATCTCTTACAAAAGGGTAACTTCTACTCAGTTTTCAGAACTTCTCCTGGGTCTGCAGTTCCTTAAAAATAATCAGTTTAGAATAAGCAAATATGCCAAAGAGGCATATCTTGGAGTTTAATTCATTTAAGCCAGACATCAACAGCATGTCACACATGAGGAAACTGATGTACAGAGAGGTTATGATAGAGTAGGCAGTTAGCTAGATATGATCAGGGAATAGGACATTCCAACCATTTTTCTAAAAGATTTTATTTATTTATGTATTTGAAAGAGAGAGAGCAGGAGCATAAGCAGGGCGGGGGTGGGGTGGGGGGAGACAGAGGGAGAAGCAGACTCCTGCTGAGTAGGGAGCCCAATGTGGGGCTTGATCCCAGGACCCTGGGATCATGACCTGAGCTGAAGGCAGATGTTTAATGGACTAAGTCACCCAGGTGCCCCGAGACTTTCCAACCATTAAAAAGACAAAAATCCAAGAAACTGACAACCACCACCAGGGCACAAAGAGCTAGAAAAGACCCCTGGAGGATATGCACACATTCTTCCCTATAACCAGCAGCCCTATAGTAACCTATAGCTTCATGATAATACCTTTACATTGCAGTTTTGACCCCTCCTAGGGAGGATGGCTGCCATGACAGTTCTGACAAAGGCCAGATAGGGCTAAAACTCACCCTCTCAACAGCTAGGAGGAGTCCTTTAGATGATTGGAAGCACCTTTGGTTGGAGACCACCCTAGCTATGACCCATAAGCCATGCCAGGATAAAAAGAAAAGACACCCAGACCCTCAGTATGGTTGCCATCTTGAGAGTGTACTTGCACTTTTGGATTTTATAATAAACTCTTGCTTACTTGAGAGTTTGGCTCTGAATTCTTTCTTGGCTGAACTCAAGAACCAAGGTCAGCATGGAGGCCAGGAAGGAACCCACCACTAACAGTTAAGTCTAACCAAGTCACACAGCTAGTAAAATGTCATAAAGTAGTTTGCCTATAGATTTCGTATTCTTAACCATGGTAGCATACTGCTGCCCTAATGTTTTAGTGAGCACAAAGGTAGGGAGAAGACAGGAGAGGAAAGGGAGTTACTTTAGAAGGATGGACCTCCAAAGAGAGCACCACGGAAAAGGTGATCAACTTGTGACTCTCATATTTGCCTGAGAGACTTCATTCTTCCTTTTTAAAAAATTATATTTGAATGGCTTCCTTCTCCTCTACTATAGGTTCCACAAGGAAAAGAATCTCTGCTTTGTTCATTGTTTGATCCTAGGTGCCTAGAAAAATGCCTAGCACAGGAGCTCAACAGTATTGATAAATGAATTGTTACAAAAGAAAACCACAGGCCCGAAATGGTGTCGCTTTGGTTGAGTCCCCAAACCAGGCCTTTACCTAATCTAGCTGCAGTTTCAACCTTCCCCAGTAAAGTAGCCTTAAGGAGTTAGTCAGAAATTCTCTGATGGGTGCCAATGAGTCTGCCACATGGACCCTCCATCCCTCACGGGAAGCTGAGATCATCTGCGTGATGAGCACCCCCCCCCCACCCTGGGCACCTGTGTGGCTCAGTCAGTTAAGCATCTGCCCTGGGATTGAGGCCTGCATTGGGCTCCCCGCTCAGTTTAGAGCCTGCTTCTCCCTCTCCCTCTGCCTCCCACTCTGCCTACTTTTGCTATCTCTCTGTCAAATTAATAAATAAAATCTTAAAAAAAAGGCCCCCCCTTCCCCACCATTCTCCCTAAAGGAAAGTGCCCTTGCCTGAAACTATCTTTTTTTTTTTAGTAATAACTTTCTTGCCCCACCCTCCTTCCTATAAAAACCACTTTATACAACTGCTCAGAGCTCCTCTCTACTTGCTAGATGGGATGCTACTCCATTCTTGAATCCTTTAACAAAGCCAGTTAGGTCTCCAAATTTACTTGGTTGAATTTTGTTTTTTGACAGAATGAATAGAAGTATGGAAAGATATGCACACACTCCCTGTGTGG